CCTCCACAACTAGACTGAGGAACAAAAGGACAGCAACTTGTCTGTTCCCCTCCCCCAATTCCCCAATAAAATCTTTAAAAAAACAAAAAAAAACCTGGACCCTTCTCCCATGATCCTCTGCACCCACTGAATATCAGAGAGGAGGCTCAGGACTTTGGCAAATCAGAGGCTAGGACAAGGGACTCAGGGGGCCTATACTCCAGATTTGAGAGTGTAGGTCAGAGTAATATGATTTTGGAGATGGAAACAGAGACCCTCCAATCCAGATGATCTTCATCTGGAGGCAGACATGGGCTCCAGGATAAGCCATGAACCGCCCACAACTTGCCAACAGCTGTACAAAGTATGTCCTATCTATGTATATATGTCATATTTCTTAAATGTAGCAATATTGACATTTAGGACTGATCATTTTTTGTTGGGAAGGACCTTCCTATGTGTTGTGGGATGTTTAGTAGCAGCCCCAGCCTCCACCCGCTAGAGACCAGTAGCACCTCCCCCTGCCAGTTGTGACAACCAGAAAGGTTGCCAAATATTGCCAAATGTCCCTTGGATGGGGGGGAGTGGCAAAGTCACCCCCGGTTGAGAACTACTGATATATGTTGATTTTTCTATGTAAAGAGTTCAAAAATTTCATCATCTAGTCAAACCATTGATGATGATCCTCAAACCTTTAAACACCATTTACTCAACAAATATTTGTTGAGTTTTTACAGGCCAGGCATTGTGCTAAGAACTGGGACTATAGTAATGACCAAGATAGCTTTTATCCTGTGTTCACAGAGCTGAGAGTCCAGTAGGGGAGCAACTGAATAAGTAATTCATTCCCAAAGAGACAAACATCACAATTACCCCCATTATGCAGATAAGGAAACTGAGGCCCAGAGTCAAGAATTTGCCTCTCTTATGTCACAAAGCAAACCAGGGACCGGGTGTGTGGGGGGGCAACAAGGACTGTTAGCTAAGAACCTACACTCTGGAGCTAAGCTGCTTCAGTTCAAATCTCAGCTATGGCACGAACCTGCTGTGTGATCTAATTAGTCGACATAACCCGCCAGTGCCTCAGTTTCCACATCTGTAAGATGGGGGTAATAATAGTGCTTACCTCAGGGGTCATAAGGGTCAAGTGAGCTAACATATATAAAGTGCCTGGCCCATGGTAATAAGTGCTTGAGGCTACTCTAAATAGGATTGCCTCTGTGCCAGCTGGCTGTTTTTACCAAACAGGGAGCAGGGAGAGAATACCCTGCCAGGAACCCCAGAGCTTGATTCCTAGAGTCAATCCAAGCAAGAATGCTCCTTTTTTTTTTTTACTCCCTCCCAACTTCCTCCTTTACCCCTGGCTTCCCAACCCCCATCAAGGGGAACTTGAGGAGAGCTTGGCTTTCAACACCAATGGCAGGAAGTGGTTCTCCTTACCACATCCCCCCTCCCCACTTCCCCGGCCCCCCCTTCCAATACCACAACAGAGTTTAGCCAAGGCCCTGGGAGAGGAGGCAAGGAGCAGGATGTACCCTCAGGTGGGCACCCCCTAACCCTGACCCAGGTCATATCTTGGACTCTAAGGCCCTCCCCCAGGTAGGGGCCTCATTAGGATGGGGAGGGGGCTGATCCTGGAGCCCTGAGTCACCAGCTGGGTGACACAGCCCTGCAGGCTGCTATTAGTAACTCCAGGCCCCCAGACCAGGATCAGCCTCACGAGATGAGGAATCTCTCCCCCTATCTAGGATGGGGGAACTCCAAGCCTGTTTCTCCCAAACCTGCCAGAGAGGGGAGGGGCAGTCAGGCCTGAGGGGCCCCAGCAGGATGTGGAGAAGACACTCATGTCAAGGATGAAGCAGAAAGGTGTGAGTATTGCAAGACATTGCCCCACGGGAGAATATCACTCAAGTACACACCCCCCACCCACAAACACACCTGCCATCCCTAGCCCCAGGGCGGTGGCAATTCCCAGGCTGACTCTTAGAGGCCTCCCACCTACACTGTCATGCCTACCACTTATCTGTGTTGAGCTCCTTTAACAGGAAGCCATAGAGAATAGACTTTGGAGTCAGGCTTCCTGGGTTCAAATTCCAGCTCCTATTCCTTCTGACTGTGTGACCTCAGGCTTTGCCTCTCTATGTCCCCATTTCCTCACATGTAAAATGGGAAAGAACAATCCTCACTCAAAAGTTTGTGAGGGCATTAAATGAGGTTATACATTGTAAGTGTTTAGCACATAGTAGGTATGCAGAAAAAATCAGTTAGCTATGATGATTCTGTTACTCTAGTGCTCTCATCTTTACAAATCAGGACTCATGATTCCAGTTAACGCTACAATTTCGGATTCAAAAGCCCCTTTTACTGGTGAGGAATCTGTGAGGATCAGGGAATGGCCCGAGTCCACACAGCTAGCAAGGGACAGACCTGGGACGCAACCCAGACCTGACACCAGCACCCTGTTTCTTCCACCACATTCTGCGCATGCCCCCTGCCACCTCAGTCTGCCATCATTCTACTAGTCAACGCGTGGGGGCAATGGAGGGCTTGACAGTCTATCCAGGGCTGTCGTGTACCTTATAGCACATCTGATTTGCACCAAATGACAGCTCTTCTTAACATCCTATTTGAATCTGAGCTTTCAGAACTTTTTGGCATTTATGGAAAATAAAGACTGTAAACCATTTTCAAGGTGACTGGCCCAAGGCCCAGAGAAGTGCTTCAGTTTGCTCACTGTCACACAGCTGGTGAGTGACAGAGCTCCTGCCCGCCCTTCTGACTCTGAATCCCGTGCTAATATCAAGTCACTGGGTCTAGCAAGAAGGAAGTCAGTGGGGGAAGCAGTCTGGGGGAGTAGGGGGTGCCCAGAAGTCAGGTTGGAGGGGGGTAAGCCCAGGAACCAACAAAGAGGGTAGGTGTGGGGTATTGGGGTGGGCTCTGTAGGGGCAAAAAATGGGTGTGTGGGGGGGGGTAAAAGGGGGAAAATGAAAGATTAAGGTGGCTGGAAGCGGCAGAGAACAGTCGAGGGGAGTTTCCTTTAAGGCGAGAGACTCATGTCCACAAGGAGGGGTGGTGCTGTGGAAGGAGAGG